AAGATATTCACAACCCAGTTTCTGGTGAAAAAGAAAAGAGAATCCTTTCACTGGGTAAAATTTTCCCCAAAACTGATGAAATAGAGAATATTGTAGAAGCCTTTTGTCAAATGACAAAAGGGGCGGGAGCACGACGTCTATATTCCACAATATCTCAGCATTTCCATGGAATAAGCAGGCCCCAAATAGAACGTTACGTCCAGAGCAGCAGCAGTTTGACAAAGTTGCATCCAACCTTCCAAAATAAGGCACCCTTAAAACCTGTGAGAGCATGTGTACCTTTTGGAAGACACCAAATTGACTTAGTAGATTTCAGCAGCAAATTAGAAACCAAAGATGGGATCACCTATCGCTTTGTGTTGTCTATACTGGACGTTTTTTCTAGGTTTTTATGGCTTAGGCCACTATGTGACAAAACATCACAGAGTGTTGTTAAAAGTTTAGTGCAGATGTACTTAGATCAGCAATGGGGTGCTCCCAAAATTATCCAAACAGATCAGGGTGGCGAGTTTAAGGGCATGATGAATTCACTCTGTGAAAAACTTGGAGTCAGGCTCATCCATTCTCAAGCCTACCACCCACAGTCTCAAGGAAAGGTAAGAAATTGTCTTCAATAATAACAGGTAGAGCCTGTTTGCAGCAAAGCTGCATGTTGCATGTAGGTCCTTATATTTGTAGTAAGGGACCGTTCATAACTTATGGCTGGGGTGGGTGGGGTGTGTGTAATGGATAAAAATGATTGCCACGGAGGACAGTCGTGATATATCTGTAAATACAGATGAAAACAAATAATGGAACTAAACCCCTTTGATATTCATAAGAAAACTGTCAAAAGCTACCTCACCACCCCTGCACATATGTTTCCCAAGATAAAAGCAACAAAAACCCTTCCACATCAATAAGAAATCAGATGTATGATGAGTCGAAAGTATGCTTCCGTAGTATCATCAGCATGTGATTGTATGTGTTCATGAATCATCATCAAATAGTGATGATACCAGAGGTGAAAAGGTGAGCAGTGGCACCCATCACAAACTCTTGTGAAGGCAAGTCTCACCTGTTACAACATGGGAACATATGACAAAAGTCAAAATAGGTATTTGCATTTGACACAATATTTTCACTGCTAGCATATTAAAGGAAGCCTTTAATGAAGAGGATATTTTCAAACATAAACGTAATTTTCATAATTTCAGGATGAGCGTTCACATAGAGTGTGGAAGGACTGTTTGCGGTATGACCTTCAGCACCTGGATGATATCTCCTGGGTAGACAGTCTTCCTGACTATTGCCGCATTCACAATGAATCGGTCAACTCAGCAATTGGTAAGATATTTAAGAGCGAAGAAAATGGCTCTTTGATCATGGCATTATCTCATCCCACAAAAATACTCTGAAAATAAGTCCTGATGACTGTTGCATTGCACAGTCCCACTACTGGTCTACCTGTAACATTTTGTAACAAGTCCATGCTGATACAAGCTGTTTTTGTCTGTGGTTTGTTCTAAGTGTTTTCTGGGATACTGTGCATTATATATTGTAGGTTGCAGTCCTTACAGAGCCATGTTTGGATTCCATCCACACCATATCACCAGGCTGTTGAAAGCAGGAGGGAAAAGTATGGATGGATACACATGTGAAGACAATGCAGAATATGAAACTGTTGAAGAACATTCTCAGGTGACTGGAATTGTATTGCATATGGTACGGTATATGATATGGTATGGTATATGATATGGTATGGTATGATATGCTATGCTATGATATGGTATGGCATTACATATGGTATGGTATGGCATTACATATGGTATGGTATGGCATATGATAGGCTATGGCATATGGTATGGCATGACATATGATATGGTATGGCATATGCTATGATATGGTATATGGTATGCTATGGTATGGTATAGTAGGGCATTGTAGGAGGTATGGTATGGTATGACATATGATATGATATGGCATATGATATGGTATGGCATATGATATGGTATAGCATATGGTATGGTATGATAAGGTATGGCATTTGGTATGGTATGGCAGGACATATGATATAATGCATGGCGTATGATATGGTGTGGTATAATATATGGTATGTTATGTTATGGTATGACATATCATATGGTATGGTATATGGTATATTATATGGTATACCGGGATCGGGTGGTCAGGCTCGCTGACTTGGTTGACACATGCCATCTGTTCCCAATTGCGCAGATCGATGCTCATGCTGTTGATCACTGGATTGTCTGGTCCACACTAGACTATTTACAGACTGCCGCCATATAGCTGGAATATTGCTGAGTGCGGCGTAAAACTAAACTCACTCACTCACTCAATCACTATATGGTATACTATACTATATGGTATGGTATATGGTATTGTATATGGTATGGTATATGGTATACTATATGGTATGGTATATGGTATACCATATGGTATGGTTTATGACATGGTGTATGGTATGGTATATGATATATGGTACATGGTATGGTATATGGTATGGTATGGCAGGGCATGACATTGCATATGGAGTGTTATGGTACGGCATATGATATGATATGGTTATGGCATATGATATGGTATATGGTATGGCATATGGTATGGTATATGGAATGGCATGGTATGCTATGGCATCTGATATGGTATGGTACAATATTCTATGATATATGGTATTGCAAATGGTATGGTAAGGTATGACATGTGTGATATGGTATGGTAGATGGTATGGTATGGTTTGGCATATGATATGGTATGATATGGTATATGTTATCTGGTATGGTATGGTATGGATGCATGTATGGTCTTATAATTTTATTATTTTATTCGGTTAGTGAAGGGACCCTAAACAGATTGAAAGAACTGCAAGATATCAGGAGAGAAGTCCTGGTAAAATCAGACAAATCTTCATCGAAAATGGTGGATAAACATTTGAAGACCAATCCCCCCTTCTCAGTATGAAGTGGGGAGATTGTCCTTGTTCGTCATCTAGGCAAGGACAAAGGAGCAAACCAGGGGTGGGCAGAAGATCACCTCTCCAAAAGCTGTTGAGGTGAGATTTTGCAAGTAGACAACAAGCTCCACAAATACAAGGTCAAAGAGGATTGGAAAAAGTTTCATGGTGATCTGTTTGCCCAGATTACAGCATTAAATAAGCAAAAGGAAGGGGAGGAAAAGAGAAGGCAAAGTAGACATGCAGGTGCAGTCTGTTATGGTCATATGTTCAAAGACTGCTAGTATATCGATATCACCATATGCTTTAAACTTTCACAAAACATTATGTTATTAAGTAGTTAGCACATAAATACAATAGGTTGCTCACTTTAAAATAACCTTAATGCTCAAAGAGATTAATTTTGCTAACATTTCAGCATTTCACAAACGTTTTGTTTGCTTTTAATATGTACATAGATGCTCAGTCATGCTGACCAAATATGCTTTTTGACTATATAGGATAATCTGTTATGTTAATTGGAAGCATGCATGTACTACAATCCTTGTTTGAGTTTCCACATGTATGTTATCACTTACATAAATACATATGTGTGAGTTACAAATTTAAGGAACTTACTTGATGATGTGTCTGAATGCAGGTAAAGGAAGCAAATCCAACATTTACCACTATAAGTTGCAAGCAAGCTGAAGGAAAGAAAATCTGAAGAATTTTTGTTTGCCCATGTGCTTCTGTCTAATTACCAGTTCTGAAATTTGACATATATTTTCAGATATCTACATGAATGTCAGGGCACTACAAAAACAAATGACGACCCCAACAGCACTATCTTATGACCATCTTCTCCAGAAATTAGAGGACTTGGCAAGGGAAAGGGCGTGTAGTGAAACACAACTCAGGTGGAGGAAACTGCATGTTTCTATCCCTGGAGTGACCAGATTTATCATGTGTAGCTTGGAAATGAATGCTCTGGAGGTTAGGGACAACATTGTTGAGCATCTGAGGACACACACCCAAATACAGTAAGCCAGCATTGAAACTTGTTTTGTAGAAAACAAATAAGACTATTACTTTAATTATATACACAGTGGTTTTTGTATGACATGTTATCTTGCCTGGAGAGAGTAAGTCTGGTTTTAACATCATGACATATGACCTTGGGGACACTAGACATGGGCTTCACCCATTTACCAATGATAATAACAGAATCTAGATTTGAGGCTTGTAGATATGAATGCTTTGAAACACTATGCTGCCCAATCACACCTATAGTATTAAACCAACTTGTGAGTCTTTTAAATAATAATTAATGATACATTTTGTACATGCAGATCGATGGAACACCCTCACTGTAATCAGTTTGCCCGCACACAGCAGTCATGGGAAGATTACCTTTCAACCATGGAGGCCCCTTGGCACCGCTAGGGTGATCACCTAGGTTCTCCTGGGTGCTGCAGTTCCTAAGAAGCTGACATTGGAGGTAATCACAACAGCATCGGACACATTGCACCCAGTCACAATCAAGGCAGTGAACAGACAAGATGGAAACCAAGAAGCTATTCCTGGGACATATCTCTGAGTTCCATTATTATGTGAGCCTGAATGAACTAGGTAAGTACAAATTAATAGATTAACCACACCATAAACAATTATTTTCAAATGATATATGATTACACCAGCAGATGGTAAACAAGTGGTTGACAGCTATGATCATTAATGTACAAATACCACTAGATCATGAATTACTGAGGGACTTTTATTCACCATAGTTAGGCAAAACGATTCAATGTAAGTTCATGTTTTGACAAGTACAATGGCATGGCTAAGTCTATGTACCTGTTACTCTGTATGTGTAATTGATTACTTATATTGTATAAGATATCATTAAATGTGCAAGTGTCTATGGTTTTGAATATCATAAATACTTTGGAATATTAATTAGGAATTCATTTATTTAGTTAATTAGTCTTAATATCGGTCTTTGATTTGTGGTTCAAATATCTTCATTTCTCAGGACAGTTTTGCAGGGATTGTCACTTGAGTTGTAATGCGTGGACAACATTAATGGTGAGACTCTATTAATGGTACTTTGTATTAATGTCCTCTTCAACCCTTACAGTGCAAGAGAACTGTTGTAGTGACAGTACATAGAGATACCTGTATGTGGTATAATGTGTTAAATCACTGAACACAGACTGTCCCAAACACTTTCCCTGTCAGTACACATATTAGCATCTACTATATTAGCACCATTATTGTTAGAAGCATGTATTTCTTCTACAATCATCGTCATGCATAAAGTAAATTCATTGTAACCATGGCAGTTGGTTCATTCATATTATTTGTTTTTTTTTATTCTTTTTGCTGTAAAATGTAGGTTATGAAACATTATTATGAATGTACCAGCAGTTTTATCTTCCTGCAACTGTTAACATACTATGTCATCTCTTTTACTTCCATTCACCCAGCAAGTGACACAAGATCATCCACACCTGGTTATGGTAGTGAAGAGGACACAGGTGAGGATACCTTAGATCAAACACATTCATTATTGCTGAGGATAAAGTTACAGATGGAAATAGGAAAAGACTGATTGACCATAAAGCAGACACCAATGATTATGATGCTTAATAACATTCCTGGAGTTACCTACAGGGACAGAGTGTCAGAAAATAATGAATCAATTTCTATCACAACATTAACAAGCTTTTATATCTGCTGGAACTGTGCACTGACTCAAATTCTTCTGCCTAATATGTAAGATATTCTATGTATGGGTTAAATTTCATCAACTTCATCAACATGATATTTTGATTCAGTTCCAGAAAGTAGCAATATTCATCTACCAGAAACTATACGGGTTCCATAAAGTTTCAAAGGCATTCTTTGAGAAAAGGTAGGAGTGTTAAATTAGAATATATATTTATATTACATTTATTTTATAATATTTTAGCATATGAAAGAAACTGACAGTAAGTGAGTCTCACATTGTCCACAGTTTAGATGATGCATTTATACAGAGAGTTCATTATTATTTCTCTAGGAGGACAATCTTGCCCGCATTATCTGCGGAATCTGATTCAGGAAACTTCAGATGAAAATGTATTAGCAATGTGTCTAGCTTGTTCCTATATCCTTGTTCCATGTGATTTTTTACTAACTAAACTAAACCTAGAAAGTTCTCAACAGCATGAATGTTAAATGGGTGTTAGAAAAAATAACCTATATTATTGATGAAGTCAAAATAACTACTGTAAAATGCAAGTGCCATTCCTATATATAAGCTCCCACAAAATAACTTCCGTCCACTCCTTTCCTTCTGTCCATATCCATGTGTCCATTCCATTCCACACTCCATTCGTCCATTCCATTCTGTCCCTTCCTATATTATATCCATTCCATTAAATCCTTTCCTGTGTCCCTGTCCAAATATTCCACTACTTCTTCCTTTCCTTTCCTTTTATTCAAAGATAAATGGCCTAGCATTTCCATTATCAGAACATAAGCAAGCTTTCCTCCATTCATCCACTGTCTTCCATGTCACCATGTGTTCTTTACCAAACCTCCCTTCCTTCCATTCTGTGTCTTATATGTCCATTCCTTTCATTTTCACCTCCACCATTCTCCACTCCAGACCATGCTTGGGGTCCATGCCATCAGGGTCTTGGACCATGCCACATCCATCCATCCATGTCCATCCATCCATCCAGACCATGCCACCTGTGGGTGTGTGGGTCCATCCTGTGTCAGGTCCACTTCCACCATCCACCACACCCCATCCAGCCACATCCACCCCAGTCAGACCCATTCCACACCTACACCGTCCACAGCCACGTTGTCCAGACCATGCCCACACCTGCACCGTCCACGTCCACCAATCAGGATTGTGCCTGACACCCATCCACAACCATCCTGATCAGACCCATGCCCACCTCACCATCCTAGCCACTGTCCAGGACCCGTGCCCACACCCAACCCCATCAGGACCAGCGCCCTGCACCATCCACAGCCACACCCATCCAGACCCGTCCACAGCCACGCCAATCGGACCCGTGCCCTCTCATCCCGGACCAGTGGCCACGTCGTCCACACCAGTCCAGGATTGTGCTGACACCCACCCCGTCCACAGCCATGCCTCCAGGACCCATGCTTTTGACCCCGTCCACCCATTGCCACGTCCACACCCATCGGACCCACACCCACCCTATCACAGCCATATCACACGTCGCTCCCAGACCAGTGCCCATCCACAGACATGCCACATCCATGCCCACCAGCCATCCATCCACAGCCGTCCAGTTCCCACACCACTAACCACACCCATGTCCACTCCAGACCGGCCCATCCACAACCACCCACATCAGCCGCCCTGTGCCATCCCATCCCACGGCCACCATCCAGGACCGTGCCATCAGATGATTGATACACCACACCCATCCACACCTGTCGGACCCGTGCCCTTGCCATCCACACCTACACCCATCGGATGATGCCACACCAACACCCGTCACCATCCAGGACCCATGCCTGTACCCGTCACCTACACCCATCCGGACCCATTGCCCTGACACCCATCCACAGCCACCCGTGGACCCGTTCCACCACCCACACCAGCCATCATCCCTGTGGGCTCACCCTCACTGAGCCACCCTGATTCCACTGCACTTGCCTGATGCACCCAAAGTGAACATGCATGTTTCATGGGGATGTTTGGTTTTGGATCCATGGACTCCTGGAATTGGCTTGGAACCTGACTTGCGTCATTGTCCCAAGGATAAGGTTAGTTATTGTCAGTGACAACAACATACATTAATCAGTTATGTAATGGATGTGCTTTGCTTGATCCTGTTCTTGAGATGAGTTCCGTACATCCCTACTGTTGTTATGGATTGTCTTCATGAAATTTTAGCTTCATCAGTTTATATTTCATTGGATTCATTCACTGAGTTCATTCATTAAGTTAAACATGACATTAATGCAGTTTCAGACATGTACTACTACTATCAGGAGCCTGTTTGTTTCGGCTGCCCTACCAGCTCAATGGCCTGAGGCCACTGTCTTGTAGCGGACAGCCGGGACAGCGAGGAGGACAGCAGCGGACGGACGGACAGACCCTTGG